CAAAACGGATCTTTCAGCTCAGAATGGACCAAAAACCTAAATGTAAGAGTTTGAACTATAAAACATTTTGAAGACAACATAGGTGTGAATCTCTGTGACCTTGGGTCAGGTAATAGTTTCTTAGCTATGAAACCAAAAGCACAAGTGGCAAAAGAAAAAGTAGATAAACTGGATATCATCAATATTAAAAACTTTTCTTTTTCCTTTCCCATCCCTCCACCCACCTTCCCTCTGGTGACCATCTGCTTGTTCTCTACAGTTAAGAGTCCGTCTTTTGGTTTGTGTCTTTTTTTCTTTTCCTTTGTTCATTTGTTTTATTTCTTAAATTCCACATATGAGTGAAATTATATGGTATTTGTCTTTCTCTGATTGGCTTATTTCACTTAGCATTATATTCTCTAGCTCCATCCATGTTGTTGTAAATAGCGAGATTTCATTCTTTTTATGGCTGAATAATATTCATATATATATATATATATATATATATATATATAAAATCCCCATCTTCTTTATCCATTCATCTATCAATGGACATTTGGGCTGCTTCCATAGTTTGGCTATTATAAATAATACTGCAATAAGCATAGGAGTGCATATATCCCTTCAAATTAGTGTTTTTGTATTCTTTGGGTAAATACCCAGTAGTGTGATTACTGGATCATAGGGTAGTTCTATTTTAAATTTTTTGAGGAACCTCCATACTATCTTCCAGAATGGCTGTACCAGTTTGCATTCTCGCCAGCTGTGCATGAGGTTTCCTTTTTCTCCACATCCTTGGCAGCACTGTTGTCTCTTGAATTTTTTATTTTAGCCATTCTGACAGGTATGAGGTGATATCTCATTGTGGTTTTGATTGAATTTTTCTGATGACGAGTGATGTCGAGCATCTTTTCAGGTGTCTGTTGGCCATTTGTATGTCTTCTTTGGAGAAATGTCTGTTCATGTCTTCTGCCCATTTTTAAATTGGATTATTTGTTATTTTGGTGTTGAGTTGTATGAGTTCTTTATATATTTTGGATACTAACCTTTTATAGGATATGCCTTTTGTGAATATCTTCTCCCATTTGGTAGGTTGTCTTTTAGTTTTGTTGGCTGAAAATTGAAAACTTTTGTGCTTCAAAAAACACCATCAAGAAAGTGAAGAGACAATCGACAGAATGGAAGAAAATGCTTGCACATCACATGTCTGATAAGGAATGTATCTAGAATATTTATACATATAGTAACAACTAATGAAAAATAGGCAAAGGATCTGATTAGATATTTCTCCAAGGAAAATATAAAAATGGCCAATAAGCACATGAAAATACGCTCAACATCATTAGCCATCAAGGAAATGTGAATCAAACCCACAATGTGACACGACTTCACACCCACTAGCATGGCTATAATCCAAAAGACAGATAAGAAATGTTACTGAGGAGTTGGAGAAATTAGAACCTGCTGATGGGAATAGAAAATGGTGAAGCTACTTTGGAAAACAGTCTGGCAATTTCTTCAAATATTACCATATGACCCAGTGATCCTATTCTTAGTTATATACCCAATAAACCTGTATGTTTATCCTTAGCAGGGTGATGGTCTACAAGCACCCATCTGGTGCAGCAGGTGACGCACCCCATTCCTGGTGGGATATAGTAGTGGAGTTAGCCAGGTGCTATATGATGTACATGCTTAAGCAGAACAAAGGAGTACACATTGAATGGGCAATGAAGATATTCATACCCAATGCAATAAGAGTCCCACTGGCTATGGGGAACTTATGCCTACTGGTGTAGCTGATCTCACTTTGTCCCTTTTCTATCTGAGTAAAGCATCGTTTTAACCAATGCCTCTGTTAGTCATGTCTTTTTTGATGATCCTGACACCAACAGACCATGAAGTGTGTTGACATACAGAGACTGCTACTCTTCACTCCATGTTGCTTGTTTCCTAACTAAGACCCTGATGCCTGGAATCTGATTACCTGGACTACTGATTCATTTCCTGACAGGTCCCCTGTGATCCTCAGATTTCAGAACCTGCCTCATTCTGTGGCTGTCCCATCAGCCTTTTCATTTAGCTGCTCCCATGCTGGGGTTCCCTCAGTCTATGCCCTGATTTCAGCCCACTGAGCAGCACTCAAAGAAGGAAAATTGTTACTAACAATATCAGATTTATTATTACTGGCTGTGTGGCCTGGCTCGAGGCTTAGACTCCCTGAGTCTCAACAGCTTTCAATATAAAGTGCGTATAACAATCCTAACTTTCAGGGATTTAAAAAACATTTTGAAAATAGTTTAAAAATTATTTTTAAAAATATTTACGGATATGGAAAAGTATTCCTCAAAAAACGTTAGACCAAAAGATTAAAACATAGGTCTGGAAATACCATATTACCCCAAATCTGTTTTTTAATGTTTATGTACCTATACGTACCTATATACATATGTTAGCAAGTTAACAATGCTTCTCTTTGATGGTAGGATTATTGGTGGGTTTTGTTTTACATATTTCTTGAGTCTTTAGTCACTGGATAGTCTAACAATGTGACTTGGGGTGAGGACTTAAAGTCAAATGGTATCATGTTCTTGAAGAGATAGAAACCGTGATCAGACATGGGTAGTCAACAGTGCCTAGGTAATGGAACTCCAATAAAGACTCTGGACACCAAGTCTCAGGTGAGCTGCCCTGGTTGACAATTCTCCATGCCTGTTGTCACATATTGTCCCTAAGAGCAACTACCTCTGTCTATGATTCCTAAGGGACAGGATAACTAGAAGCTCTGTATTTGGAACCCTTTCAGACTCTGTCTTATGACAGATTTTAATCCTCTCCCTGTGATAACTATGAGTACAACAACTTTCAGTGAGTTCTGTGAGTCCTTCTAGCAAATTAGTTGGGGACCCCCAAACTTGCAATTAGTGTTAGAAGGAAGCATGGTCTTGGGGAACTTTAAACTCTATAGTGATGCCAAAAGTAAAAGCAGGGGGCACCTGGCTGGCTCAGGTGAGAGAGCAGGTGACTCTTGGTCTCAAGGTGGTGAGTTTAAAGCCCACATTGGGGGTAGAGGTGACTTAAAAATAAATAAATAAATAAATAAACAAACAAATAAATAAGGAAAACCAGTCTTTTGGAGACTGTTCCTCAAAATTTGTAGCATTTGTGCTCATGGGGTATGTTGGCCTGTCATTTTCTTTTCTTGTAATGTCTTTGTCTAGTTTGGTAGCAGGGAAATGATTATGAAAATGAATTGGAAAGTGTTCCTCCTCTTATCTCAAACACTTTATATAGGATTGATTTTTTTTTTCCTCCTTAAATATTTGATGGAATTTACTGGTGAAGCTATTTGGGCTTGGAGTTTGCTTTGTGGGAAAGTTTTTAATTAGAAATTCAAATAATTTTATAGCTGCTTGGCTACTCAAAATTTCTTTTTCTTCATGTGTTAGTTTTGGTAAGTTGTCTTTTTCAGTGAATTTGTCCATTTTATCTGAGTAGTTAAATATATTGCATTAGGTTGGTATAAATGTGTGAATAATATTCTCTTTTTAACATCTGTAAGATCTGTACTGTTGGCTCTTTTTGCATTCATGAGGTGAGTTATTTGTGTTTTCTTGCTGTTTTTTCTTAATTGAATAAGTCCTATTTAATAAATTATATTTTAAGATTACAGTAACTGAATATACATTTAATTAATTCAACTTAGTTATGTAACATTAAAAAGGTAATGAATCAGGTAAATGTGAATTAAAATTTAAATGTATTAAATTGAAGTTGAATGAATTAAATCATATTAAATGAAATGTAATATAAGTAAACAATATTAAATTTAAATTAAATGATACACATTGAATTTAATAAATTGAATTAATATTAAATTATTTTAGACCAAATTAAATTTAGTAAATCAAGTCAGTAATGTTAAACTAAATTTGAGTAATTAAATTTAAGTTAAACTTGAACTATATTCCCTTAAACTTATTTTCGTACATCAAATTGTAATTAAATTAAAATTGAATTATATGAAATTCATTAATTGATGTTAAAGTAAATGTATCAGTACCTTTACAACACATACATATTCATTTATACTAACTAAAGTTAATTTAATACATTAAACGAAGAACTAAATCTGAATTAAATTATGTTAATTAAAATAAATTACAATCAAATTAAGATTAATTCAATATTAATTAGAAAAAGGAGGCAAGTCTGGATCTGAAGGACTGCTTTGTGGATTAAAAACGTGTTCTGGGAAGAGAGGGTCATTGAATCCATGTTGCAGCTCCTGTGTCTTCAGCTGTCTGTGATGATGTGGAGGGGCCATAAATAAAAATGTTTAGGAAAGGTGAAAAAAACAAAACAAAAACAAAAACCAGACTTCTGAAACCACCGTCAGAAGAATCATCAGTAGCAAATAAGTTGCTATTACATCCGGAGCCAAGAAATCCAGAATTGTCAGCAAAGGGGAAAAGTTTTATTTTCCCCAGGCCTCTCTTCAACCCGAATCAAGTCGTTTTGACTCTGAATGTGGACATGTGGACATTTACTATGACCATTGGGTGGGACTTGGGGTGATGGGGGCATTGACCTGTTGTATCTCATTTGACCTCTGTGGTTGCCCGAGTTAGATCATTACCCTAAGGAGACGTCTACCTCTCCGATGTGTCCAAATTTTTTTTTTATTGTACATGATCTAATTTAAAAATGTTACAATTAACTTTACAGGAGAGAATTGAATATGTACGAAACAAGAGAACTGAAGTGGACGTCACCAGGAACCCGGCAAATCCACATTCTGGCGGTGGCGGGGTCAGGGGAAGAGGTGGTGAAGCCAGCTGTCTCGGATTTCAAAATCTACTTTGGTTCGGCCACTTCTCACCAGAGTCGGTCAGTTCACCGGTTCACCACCGTTTATGGCCTACCATGGTTGCCTGGGACTGATTCCGAGGGGCGAGAACGCTCCTGCAAAAGCCCGGAGGCTGAACCGTGCTGAGGAATTGGAAGGAGGAATGAGAGCGGGGAAGAGTGGTGGACGTTGACATCGAAGACACAACAGGGGGAAAGGTTTCCTTCGCAGCGCTAAGGGACACAGTCGGCTGGCGCCCCATATATACAAGTGGAAGGGGAAAGTGACTGAATGGAAGAGTGAGTGTAACTTGATACAGGTAGCGTTTCTGGCGCAGCCACTTTTTCTTTGAACTTCTCTGCGGTGCAAGCCGCCGGCGTACGGAATCGATGGCCAAAATGCCCGCGCCCTCTTGGAAGCCGCGATTAGGACGCTGCCATGTATTGCCTGTGAACGTACGGACTCGGCCATCTTACGGAATCAGTTTCCAAGATGACGGCATCTGCGTGGAAGTCGCGCACAGGCGCGGCCATATTTCCTGTAACGTTGAGTCCGTACAAGCGGTCACCGTACGGACTCAGCCGACAAGGTGGCGGTGCCCTCGGGAAAGCAGCCATATAGGTGCGGCCATGTTTCCTGCAAACTTATGGACTCGGCCCCCGTACGGTCTCAGCAGTCAAGATGGTGGCGCCTAAGAGACCGTAGAGGCTCTAGGCGGCGGATATACTTGTTTGCTGCGGAGCCGACGCAGTAGGCCTGCGCAATAAGAGTACGGTGCCCGGGAGGCGCAACCAAAGCGGAAGTAGTTGTGGGCGCCTTTACAACGGCCGGGGACGCCTCCGAGAGGTCTGTGCGGATTCGCGGGTCGCTGGCGGGGGTCGCGGAGGGGTGCGCCGAGAGCGGAGAGATGGTGAGTACGGGTCCGGGGAGGGGGTCGGCGGTAGAGGTCAGGTGGATTGGTAGTGGTGGGGTCCGTGGGCAGACTCTTCAGGGTCTGTGGTGAACCGTAAGGAGAGTCTGTGGGCTCTATGGTGGGAGCCTATGGTGAACCTTAACAAGGGTCTGTGGGTAGAATGTTGGGGGTCTGATGTTCTGAATTTTTTCTGGTGTGTGGACCATCTGGGAGTTTTGTGATGAGCGATTATGGGGGTCCGTAATGGAAGTTTGTGGCGATCCCTTTCGGTAGTTTAGCGGGGGTCCGGATGGGAGATTGTTTGGGCAGAGTGATAAGGGGTTTACGATGAGCGGTACTGGTTAGTGTGTAGTGAGCCGTGATGAGTCTTTGTCAGAGGACCGGTGGGGAAAGGTGATGGGGGCGGGTTGTCTGTGGGGTTGATAACGGGGGATCTGCGGGGAACCGTGATGGAAATATATGTTCTGTCTGCGGAATATACCCCGTGGTGTCTGAGAAGTGAGGGGGGGCCTGTGAGGAGTCACGATGGGGGCAGTATGAGATGAATGGTAGAGTGTAACTAACTGTTAAGAGTGTGTGGCTTGAGTGTTGGAGCGTTAGTGGGGTAAGGGATGGAAGGTCTGAGACAGAGTGATGGGATTTATAAGTGTGGTACTGGGGTGTCAGGGGTGAGTGGGGGGGGCTTGTGGGAATTGTGATGGAAAGATTTAATGAGGAGCTATGATGGAAAGTCTATTGGCAGAATGTTGGGGTTTGTGGTGAGCCGTGATGGAGCTTTAAGAAGGGATGAGGCACTATGATGGGGGTTCTCTAAGGAACCATGATGGTGGGGGGAATCCCACAGGAGGGTGATGGTTCAGACCCAGAGCCTCCAGATGCTGGGGAGGACAGCAAGTCGGAGAATGGGGAGAATGCGCCCATCTACTGCATCTGCCGTAAACCAGACATCAACTGCTTCATGATGTGAGCCGGGGAGAGGCGGGCGGGGCTGACACTGGCAAGGTTGGGTGAGGTTGATGGGTCCAGCCCCTCACATCTGCACCACTCACCCCATCCTCTGCAGCGGGTGTGACAACTGCAATGAGTGGTTCCATGGGGACTGCATCCGGATCACTGAGAAGATGGCCAAGGCCATCCGGGAGTGGTACTGTCGGGAGTGCCGAGGTGAGGGGGGCGGCCTGGGCAGGGCAGGCAGATCCACCTGCCACGAGGGAGGAGAAGCCATAAAAGGAGGGTGGATCATGGGGAGTGGTGACATACGTCTGGGGGTGATTATTGGTTTGTGGTGAGCTGGAGTGGAGACTCCACGGTGAGCCCAAATACAGGGTCCCACCAGACCGGGTAGCTTTGCCCTGGAATAGGGGGACAGAGAAGGTGGGTGGGACAGAAAAGAAGAAGAAAGAGTTCTGGGACCATCCAAATTCCTCAGTGTCAACCCACCTTGACCCCACAGAGAAAGACCCTAAGCTGGAAATCCGTTATCGGCACAAGAAGTCACGGGAGCGGGACAGCAATGAGCGAGACGGCAGTGAGCCCCGGGATGAGGGTGGAGGGCGCAAGAGGCCTGCCCCAGATCCAGACCTGCAGCGTCGGGCGGGGTCAGGGACAGGGGTTGGGGCGATGCTTGCTCGGGGCTCTGCTTCGCCCCACAAATCCTCTCCACAGCCCTTGGTGGCCACACCCAGCCAGGTGAGTGGCTGCCATGGCTGGGATAGGTAAGGGGATCCCATTTCAGGCCCTACTTGTGTTCCTGATTTCTGTTCTGGGCCCCTGTCTTCAGCATCACCAGCAGCAGCAGCAGATCAAACGGTCAGCCCGCATGTGCGGCGAGTGCGAGGCCTGCCGGCGCACTGAGGACTGTGGCCACTGCGACTTCTGTCGGGACATGAAGAAGTTTGGGGGCCCCAACAAGATCCGGCAGAAGTGCCGGCTGCGTCAGTGCCAGCTGCGGGCCCGGGTGAGCATGGGTAGAGCTGGGCAGGGCCAGGTGGGGGTGTCAGATGTCCAGGAAGGGCTCATTCAGGCCAGGAGGGGTGGGCCAGGTGAGGTGGGGCCTGATTGCATACAGACAGGTGGGAAGGAGCCTGGCCTGTCCAGATGAACGGGGCACGATCAGGTGTATGGGGCTAGCAGGGGCGCCTCCAACCCCAGGTGGGCAGGGTAGAGCCAGATGTTTCAAGGCAGTCAGGCATGTCAGGGCAGGTGGGACGGGGATGAGCATGTCCTGGTCCTGAGAAGTGGTGGGGGTAGTGGGTGTGTCTGGGGAGGCAAAGCAGGGCTAGTTGGTGGGGCTAGGCTCTTGTGGGAGGGGCTAGGGCAGGGCCACCCTCCATCCACCTGGGGCTGACCTGGGCCTTCCTCCTGCCGGCACAGGAATCGTACAAGTACTTCCCTTCCTCGGTGAGTCCAGCCCCCCAGGGCGGGGCGGGGCATGCGGGCAGGGCGGTCAGGGCCAGTCCTGAGATTCTGCCCCGCAGCTCTCGCCAGTGACGCCCTCAGAGTCCCTGCCACGGCCTCGCAGGCCACTGCCCACCCAGCAGCAGCCACAGCCATCACAGAAGCTGGGGCGCATCCGTGAGGACGAAGGGGCAGTGGCATCATCAGCAGTCAAGGAGCCACCTGAGGCTATGGCCACACCTGAGCCACTCTCGGATGAGGACCTGCCACTGGACCCTGACCTGTACCAGGACTTCTGTGCGGGGGCCTTTGATGACCATGGCCTGGTGAGCAGGCAGAGTGTCCCATGGTGGAAGGGGAGAGGTTACAGAAGCTGAGTTTCCATGATCAGGAGACATGGAAGATGAGGCAGAGTATGGAAGGCTGATTTGGGAACTGATTAGTGGTGGGGTAGTCATGAGTGGGGCAGGTGGGTCAGTGTATGTCTCACTTGCAGCCCTGGATGAGTGACACAGAGGAGTCTCCGTTCCTGGACCCTGCGCTGCGGAAGAGGGCAGTGAAAGTGAAACATGTAAAGCGTCGGGAGAAGAAATCTGAGAAGAAGGTGATGGAGAGGATGAAATGAGTGTGGGAAGGCTGAGGGCAGGGAGGGGAGGGAGAGGCAAAGGTCAGGAGCTGGATGGGACAAGAGCCAGAAGGGGGTGGCATACAGGGGGAGACAGGGATCGAGGGCTGACTTTTAACTCCACCCTAACCTGACCCGACCTGCTTCGTCCCATAGAAAGAAGAGAGATACAAGCGGCATCGGCAGAAACAGAAGCACAAGGACAAATGGAAACACCCAGAGCGCGCCGACGCCAAGGACCCTGCATCACTACCGCAGTGCCTGGGACCTGGCTGTGTGCGCCCTGCCCAGCCCGGCTCCAAGTATTGCTCAGATGACTGTGGCATGAAGCTGGCAGCCAAGTGAGTCATTCCTGAAGGTTTCAAGGGGGTCAGGGAATATGGGGTAGGGCATGGCCTGAGCCCTCTGTATGTCTTCCCATCAGTCACCTGCCCACTGTTCAGTCCACAAAGCACCATCTATCCAGCACCCACCATCCACCACTCACGTGCTCGTCTGCTTATTTATCTACCATTCAGTCACTTAATTATCCTTTTGCCATTTGGTCGGCCAACCATTCTACCATTCTTGGATCACCCCACTTATCTTGTTGTTTGCCACCTTCCCTGTCTGCACCCAACCCACTGCCTCCCTGCAGCCGCATCTATGAGATCCTCCCCCAGCGCATCCAGCAGTGGCAGCAGAGTCCCTGCATTGCTGAGGAGCATGGGAAGAAGCTGCTCGAACGTATTCGCCGTGAGCAGCAGAGCGCCCGCACCCGCCTTCAGGAAATGGAGCGCCGATTCCATGAGCTTGAGGCCATTATTCTTCGTGCCAAGCAGCAGGCTGTCCGTGAGGATGAGGAGGTGAGCAAGCCCAGGCCCAGCGGCACAGGGCCCAGTACCTGCTCCTACCTGGCTTCATTGTTTCTTCCACTCCACACAGAGCAATGAGGGTGACAGTGATGACACGGACCTGCAGATCTTCTGCGTCTCCTGCGGGCACCCTATCAACCCACGTGTTGCCTTGCGCCACATGGAGCGCTGCTATGCCAAGGTCAGGGTGTCATCCTGAGGGGGAATATCAGTGGGTCCCTGGGGGAACAGATGTGTTGTCTGGGGGTTGTCTCGGGAGGGCATGCAGCACACATCCACAGTTCCCTCCATTTGTGCTCATCCCTCCAGTATGAGAGCCAGACGTCCTTTGGGTCCATGTACCCCACACGCATTGAGGGGTGAGTGTGGGTGCTCCATGGAGTTAGAGCAGGGAGGTTAAGGCTGGGGTCGGAAGTGGCATGTTGGGGTAGGATATGGGTATGGACAAGAATAGATGGGTCTCCCTTCTCTCCCTCCACTACCTTCTCTCTACTCTAAATCCCCAGAGCTACACGACTCTTCTGTGATGTCTACAATCCTCAGAGCAAGACCTATTGTAAGCGGCTCCAGGTGCTGTGCCCTGAGCACTCACGGGACCCCAAAGTAAGGTTTGCCCTCAACTCCCCCATTCTGTTCTTTCTTCTTCTTCACTGCCCCACATTCATCCCTTGCTTTGTCCTTTGCCCTCCTTCCTTCCCTTTTCCCTACTTGACTGCTTCCATAACTCTCACTTTGCTTGCTTTATCACTCTTCATTCCTTTCCTTTCCGTGTCTCATTATCTCCATTCCTCTCTACACTCTGAACTCTCTATTCTTTCCTTCTTACCTGACCATTCCCCATTCCTGTCCTCTTTTCTGCCCCACCACCCCCATTTATCCCTGACCCCCAATCTCCTTGCAGGTGCCAGCAGATGAAGTATGTGGGTGCCCTCTTGTACGTGATGTCTTTGAGCTCACAGGTGACTTCTGTCGCCTGCCCAAACGCCAGTGTAACCGCCATTACTGCTGGGAGAAGTTGCGGCGTGCTGAAGTGGACCTGGAGCGTGTGCGCGTGGTAGGTTTTGATGCTGAATGTGGCTGGGGTCAGGTGGGGCTTCTGGAGCTCCTTCTCATGGTTCTTTTGCTCCCCTGGCAGTGGTACAAGCTGGATGAGCTGTTTGAGCAGGAGCGCAATGTACGCACAGCCATGACTAATCGGGCAGGATTACTGGCCCTGATGCTGCACCAAACGATCCAACATGACCCACTCACTACCGACCTGCGCTCCAGTGCTGACCGCTGAGTCTCACACCGGCCCAGAAGTCCTCACACCCTGCATTCCAGGCTGGGGAGCTGCCGTGAATCCCCCATTTGTTTGTTCTGCCATTCATCTGTTTCTCCAATGGTCCCTGAGTTTCTCCCTGTGCCCATCCACCAGTTGACTACCCAGCTGCCATTACCAGAGGGTCTCAGAATTTTCTCCTGTCCTTGTGTGTCCCTCTGTCTCTCCATTCTCTGTGCCTGGGTGGGACTGTGGAGTTTGCTCACTCTTGCCCCCCCCCCCGGTTTTGTTAATAAAATTTTGAAGAATTAAGATCACTACTGATGTTTTTCACACTTTATCCAGCTGCAACTGCATTCCCAAACCCCTTGGGTAGATGAGCTGTGGCACACACCTGTATTCAGAAGAAGTTGCAGTATACAGCTTTAAGTGTACAGTTAGCACCTACTCTGTGCTCTGCAGGAGCCCCCTTGGGCGATGGGATATGCCTTGCTGAAGGAGAGCCTAATGACCTACATTCTCAGTATTTCATCCTGTAACTGTATACAGTCGGCACTAATTCAGTATTGTGACTGACTGACTTACCACCCGTGTCAGCACTGACATCCTCCTGAGTAGAAATGTATTAGATAACGGACACACGGTCTCATTCTCCCACAAACCCCTTTGTTACACGTGTAACAGAAGTCTGGGAAGCCCATCCCGCGCTGTCGTCGGGTCTAGTGATCCCCACAGCACAGCCTTTACAGGACGCGCCGGCCCGGCTCGGTCGCACGGCCCTTCTGTTTACCTGCAGCGCGGCACCGCCCCCTTCTCCAGTTCCCGCGGAAGGAGCCGGGGTTAGCGTGCGGCGGCACTAGTCGCCGCGCGCTCCTGCGACAGTTCGGCGGGGCGGAGAGAGCGGGACACAATAGTCCTGGGGGAGAGGGTCGGGGGACCGCCCGGCACAGGCGCGACGTAGGCGAGAGGTGGGAGAGGAGGCCTCCGGCACAACCTCAGCCTTCGGCGCCCCTCCCTCCTGGTTACCGCCGGTGGAGACCGCTGGGGGAGCAGCGTAGGGACAACACTAACCCTCCACGCCCCCTCAGGTTGAGAAACCGCGGGCGCAAGCCAGACAGGCGGAGTGGGGAGAAAGCGCCGGTTGGCGAAATGAGGAGCTCCGGAGCTGCAGGTCTCCGATAGGGGTGAGAGCAGTAGTTGGATGTCAGGGCGCAAGCGCAGTAGGTCCCGGGCCAGAGGCGCGCGCCGCTCTGGGACTGAGCACGCAGGCGCGGGGCGTCCTCCCCACTAAGGGCAAACGCTGGAGGGGCATTAGGGCGCAGGCGTCTTGCCGGGGGCGGGGCCCTAGAAGTGGGCAGTGGGTTTCCGGTTCCGGGAGCAACGAACGGCCGCGGCAGCGACAGCTACCGCTTCAGAGGAAGCGTCTGCGGAGGAGGAAGAAGAGCAGGGCAAGGCGGGAGTCACAGGCGGGACCCTCGCCATGGGTCCGCGGACCTAGAGCGGCGGAAGCTACCGGCCCGGTGCCGAGCTGGTGAGACAGTTGTGGGGGTGGTAATGGAGAGCGCTCAGGCGTAGGATGGGAAAGAATTGAGGCTCAGAACGCTGACGGAGAGGAATGAAGGGCCCTCAGGCCGATGAGTGGGAGGAATGGCGGCGTCGGAATATTGAAGGAGAGGAATGGGAAGGTTTTGCCTGAGGACGGGGAGGAATGGGGCTCAGAGCGCTGACAGGTGGAAGTGTCGGGAGTCTGGACGAGGACGGAGAGGGTTGGGGAAGGATCCGAACCCCATCCCACCGAGGGGAGACCTCGGTACCTCTCAGGTTGAGGAGAGAAATGGGGGTTCAGAACGCTGAGAGGGAGAAATGAGGGGTTCTCAGGTTGATGACGAGAAGAAGTGGAGGCATTGGGATGCTGAAAAGGAGCGACTGGGACTCATACGAAGAACGAGAAGAAATAGGGGTTCTGAATGCTGAGTTAGGGATGGCATGATCTTGGGACAAGAACGGGGAGGATTTAGGGGTGGGTTCAGAATGCTGAGGGCAGAAGTCAGGGTATCTCAGGGTGACGAGAGGAATGGAGAATAAGGGACACTGAAGGGAAGGAATGAAGAAACTGTTTAGCTGAAGACGAGAGGAATAAGGAGGTTGAGGGACTGAGATTGGTGAGGTTTTGTGGCTCAGAACACTGACAGGGAAAATAAGGGAGGAGGAGGCTTTCAGGCTGAGGAACAGAAGGAGTGAGGGGCTGTTTAGGGTAAAGAGATGGAGAAGCTGGGGGCTCTCTGGCAGAGGACACAGAGGAAATTGAGGCAATAGCCCTGAGGTAGCATGATAAGAGGACATCAGAAAGGGAAGGAATGGGAGGGCTAAAAGACTGAAAGAGAAATTGGGGACTCCTGGGTCAATGAAGAGAGTGAATGGGAGGTCAGAACACTGAGGTAGAGTACTGGAACCTTGGTCTGAGGTTGAGCAGAGTGGGGCAGATGTTGGGAGGACTAGGACCTCTCAGGCTGAGGGTGGGGAGTATGGAGGTTTCAGGGTGACAAAGGGGAGGAGTGGGGACCAGTAGGTTAAAGACAGAGTGTCTTCCTGGGAGGAATGAGAGGTTCCTAGGTTGGCAGAGGGGAGAAGTGATGGGCTCTCGGGCCAAGGACAGGGAAGAATTGGTAATCAGGACATTGAGTAAGGAATGAGGATCTTTGGGTTGAGGATCGGGACTCTTAAGTTGAAGATGGGGCTGCTAGGTCAGAAGGGGGAGGAATGACAAGCTTCTGGGCCCAGGACAGGGAAGAATGAGATGGGGAAGGGGAATTTCTGTTATATTGGCCAGTTGCCTGTGGTAAATACCAGGTCTTGGACAAGCATTAATAAATACTAGCAGTTTGTGGGGCTAGGGCACAACGTGTCCTCTCCTAGAGCCTCAGTTTTCCTCATTGCCCCCTCCATGTTGCAGGCCGCTGCTCCTTCCCTTGGCTCCCATGGCTGAGGACTGGCTGGACTGCCCAGCCTTGGGCCCTGGCTGGAAGCGCCGTGAGGTCTTTCGAAAGTCAGGTGCCACCTGTGGACGCTCAGACACCTATTACCAGAGGTACTGGGTGGGTTGCGGACAGAGTCATGGGTAGGGCTGAGCCTGGTTAAGCAGGGTGAAATCAGGGGGTGTGTTTAATTTTGTGGGTGGGTTAAAATATGCATATATATTTGATTCTTATTATTTGTAGATTCCATATTTGTAAATTTGCTTGCTAGAATTTGTATTAAAGTCGATACTCCCTGTACTTTCATAGTCTCTCATAGATACGCACAGAACAGCAAAAAATTTAAGTTGCCTGCCTGATACACGCATTTCCAGCTGAGGTTGAATGAGGCTTTCTTGTTTCAGTTCTTTTACTGTAATCAAGTGTCCTTTTCGTGGCCTACTTAGTGCCATGTTTTTTACATTTTTGTACTTTTTATTGGTGATTTTGGTATTTAGAATGGCCCCCAGCGTAGTGCTGAAGTGTCTGTTGTTCTAAGTGCAAGAAGTCTGTGATGGGCTATAAGGAGAAAAATGTGATGTGCTACAAGGAGAAAATACACATTAAATAAATTTCAGGTGTGAGTTGTAGTATTGTTAAGTGTGAGTGCAATGTTAATGAATCGAAAATGTGGTACATCTAGAAAAAGAAAAGGAAATTTTCCAGTTTGTCCAACTTCCAATTTCTGGAAAATGCTAAAGTAACATCTATAGTATGTAACGAAGCTCAGGAAAAGGTGGGAAAAGGGCTAAACTTAAAGATCCCTAAGTTAATAACCAGTAGAATAAAGTGTAGTGGACAGAGTGAGAAGCTGAAAGCCAGGGACATTGACAGTTGTGTTACCCCTGGTTAGAAAAATGTTAAACCTATCTCAGCTAGTGCTGACTGGCTCACATGTTTCAAAAGGTGATACATCGTGAAAAATGTTAAATTTGCATGCAAGGTAGTTCTGCAGACCAAGAGTTTGCAGAGGAATTTTAAAAATACCTGTTAAGTGTTACATGGGAAAAGTATCACGTAGAAGAATAGGTTTTCAAACCTGAGAGACTGGCTTATTTTACAAGGACTTTGCCAAAAGTACCTATATAACAATACTCCAAAGCTCCTGGCTTTAAATTATTGAAAGGCCATACATAAAACAAGGTTACACATTGATCAGTTGACAGAAATGTCACCTGAGGCTCGCAGGAAGCTAACCTGTAGTTTCACTAGGGGAAGAGGTGCTATATTCACCAATTAAGTGTTTAATGTGATTTTATACAATATATCACGAATGAGAATCAGCTATTAATACGTGAATGTTTGTGTTTATATACTATTTATGTTTAAGGATCTAAGGTGTTTTAGGATGTATTAATGATACAGTTATTGAATTTACTGCATTTTTCCTGAACTTTTTTTGTATCTAAGTTGCTGTTTTCCTGGAGAAATATAGTAAGATCATAAATAATAGTGTTCATACTTAATTTTATGTTTATCCACATAATCACAACTCGTATGAAACTGTCAAAATTTATACTTTTAAGTGCTGTCATCAAGAACCATACAAGATTAGAGGTTTTATCCTATTAGGGCAAGATAACAAGTATGTCATAATTTTGTGGATGCTGGTAGGATATACGAGACTGCTGGGTCAGAGATGAAAGATAGTTTATTACTCACAGTAACAGCAGTATCCAGAATGTCGTTATTTTCATGTCAATTCCCCAAACACCAGTTCCCATGTGGTGACCTGCAGAGGGCTAACTAGCATCTGCCCATGCATTGGATTGTAGGAAAGGAGCCCTGAGCTTAAGGAATCCAGTCTTTTATAATGTTAGGATAGTAGTAGGATGCCATCCTTCTGCTCTGGAAGGAGAACTTATTTCTTATCTTCCAAGGCTGTTTGCTGTACAAACATCCTTGAGAAGATAGTTCATAACAAAGGACTATCAGTGCCTCTCTTGCAAGACATGCAGAAATGCTAGAGATCTGTGGAGTATTCTCTTTCAATATCAGTTATTCCTACTTTGTTTTGTATGTAGTTGCATCTGTATGTTTACGCACATGTTTGTATTTATATTTATGTGCGTGTTTGTGTGTATATTTTTAAAGAGTTTTCTTTTTTGTATTTTTACATGTTTAGTAAGTAACACTAACGTATTTATATGTTACTTAACATATTGGTATTTCTACCTGTATTTATTTTTATTTATGTAGACTACAAGTAGTAGCATGTGTCATAAATACATACGTATTTATGTTTATGTTATTTATTTATATTTGCATATACACTGCTATTTGTACATATTTTGTATTTCTGCTACGCAGGCTTAGTTGGGGTAAGACCTGGTCAGGGCTTACATGCCAATCCCAAGCTGCCTCCTGTATCCCCTGTCAGCCCTGCAAGCCTGTTCACTAGCCCAGTGGAAGGGTTGTGTGGGTGGAGTGGCCATGGCTCCACCCAGGTACCAACCCATCCTGGCCCATCCCTAGCCCCACAGGAGACAGGATCCGAAGCAAAGTTGAGCTGACCCGCTACCTGGGCCCTGCGTGCGACCTCACCCTCTTCGACTTCAAACAAGGCATTCTGTGTTATCCAGCCCCCAAGGTACTACACAGTGTTGGGTACCCAGGCAGGGGTAACTGAGCCACCTAACACCCACCCACTGATCTCTTCCTTCTTTCCCTCTCATCTGCAGCCCCAGTCCTTAGCTGTCCCTAGCAGGAAGCGGAAGAAGCCTTCACGGCCAGCCAAGACTCGGAAACGTCAGGTTGGACCCCAGAAGGGTGAGGTCAGGAAGGAGGCCCCAAGAGATGAGACCAAGGCTGATGCCGACACAGCCCCAGCTTCACTCCCTGCTCCTGGGTGAGTGTTGGCCTAAAGTGAACCAAGAGGGTGAGGGTTGTGGTTGGGGTGCACTCAGAGCCCCACACCCATGTTTCCCATCCCAGGTGCTGTGAGAACTGTGGAATCAGCTTCTCAGGAGATGGTACCCGAAGACAGCGGCTCAAGACATTATGCAAGGACTGCCGAGGTGAGTGGCCCCCAGGACCCTGGAGACAGGAGTGGAGCAGGTCTGATGTCGGTTAGGACACCACTGTCAGGCTAGAGGTTGAATGGACATCAGGGTAGCAGCAGTGGGTGAGGTTAGATATCTGATGCCTTTGTCCGCTTCTCTTTTTCCCTCTCCAGCACAGAGAATTGCTTTCAACCGGGAGCAAAGGATGTTTAAGGTAAGCACGACCTGCCTCCTCCTCACAAGTGTGCGGTGGGAGCAGGATGTGATGGGGGCTTATGGAGGATCTGAAGGAATGGTGATGGATCCACAGGGTGTCAGAGTCATTTTGTAGGGAGCTAGCTTTGGTCAGCAGACAGTAATGGGTTAATGGGGTGTCAGTAGATTCAGCGATGAGGTTAACGGGGCACTGGTAGACATTGGGGATAGCCTCTGATGGCAGCTAATCCGTAGTTGTCAGATACAGTGATGAGGCAAGTGGTGGACTACTAGACATGGCAGTGGGGGCTAATAACAGACATGTAAGGGGCAGCGCACCTGGAGCAACTCAGTTTGGGCCTGTGACCTCGCCCCACCCGTTCCTGGCAGCGTGTGGGCTGCGGGGAGTGCGCGGCCTGCCGGGTAACCGAGGACTGCGGGGCCTGCTCCACCTGCCTTCTGCAGTTGCCCCATGATGTGGCCTCGGGGCTGTTCTGCAAGTGTGAGCAGAGACGGTGCCTCCGGATTGTGGAAAGGGTGAGTTGGGCAGGTAGGGTAGGCCCATGGCTCACCCTAGCCCTGGCTCTCATAGCCCTGGCCCCATGCATCATGCCTCTGCCCCTTCCCATCCCCCCAACAGAGCCGAGGGTGTGGAGTGTGCCGGGGCTGTCAGACCCGAGAGGACTGCGGCCGTTGTCGAGTCTGCCTTCGCCCTCCCCGCCCTGGTCTCAGGCGCCAGTGGAGGTGTGTCCAGCGGCGCTGCTTACGGGTGAGTCAGGCTGGAGGGGCCAGCGCTGTTGGGGCCAGGGCTGGGGCAGAATTCATTCTGCTGTTAAAGTTGCTACTGCTGCTGCTGCTTCCTCCCAGCCTTGCCCACCTCATGTCTTCTTTTCTCCCTCGCCCCATGCTCAACTCCCTGGTCCCACCTACCTGCCCCTGTCTGCCAGCACCTTGCCCACCGTCTGCGTCGCCACCATCAGCGATGTCAACGACGCCCTCCCCTAGCTGTGGCTCCCCCTGCTGTGAGTGCCGCACCCCACACTCTGCCTTGCCTGTCCCGTGCATGCTTTCTGCACTCCTCTTGGGGGTGGAGGGGGGTGGTCCTGTGTCTGCTTGGTGCCACCAAGCCTAAACTACTCTTCTGGCTTTCTCCCAGGGTAAACGTAGCCGCCGCAGAGGAGGCTGTGACTCCAAGATGGCAGCTCGGCGGCGCCCCCCGCGAGCCCAGCCACTGCCTCCAGTTCCCCCATCACAGCCTCCAGAGTCCCCAGAGCTGGTGAGGCCCTGGTGGGCAGGGGGAAGGCACAACCCTAACCTTACCCAGTACCTGCCCTGACCCCACCCCATTTGCCTCTGCAGCACCCCAGAGCCCTGGCCCCCTCGCCACCTGCCGAGTTCATCTATTACTGTGTAGACGAGGACGAGCTAGTGAGTGGCCCTACCCTACATGGACAAACCTAGACCCTCCCAGGGCACTTGGTTAAGCCCAAAGAAGCAGCTGCTGCAGTGGGCCTAATAGGGGAACAGCAAGACAGAGTAATGGGTACTAGTAGGGGGTGAGGAGACAATGGGGGAGGGACTAATATGGGATGGACAGGTGCAGCAACAGTACCTAACGTCAGATGAATCACTGCTCTGGTGGGGTTAATAGAGGAAATGTCAGCGTAGTGAGGAGAGTTCACATAGGTTGAGCAGATACAGCAGGCACAATGGAGGCAACTATAGAGGGTCAGCAAAATTCTGCTGAAGGTGGGGGTCAAAGACTTTGGTAGCCACTGGTCTAGCAGATGGCGTGATGGTTACGGTGTTGGAGTGCCTGATGGTATCGGGCACTGTCCGATACAATGATAGTGCCTGGTGTTGGACTAGCAGATGCTGAGGTGTGACCAAGACCAGTGCACAGCTGGTTCCCTCTGATGAGGCTAGTGAAGGAGCAACAGGAGCAGCATTGGAATAGTGCCAGTAATAGCAACCCCCTTTTTGCCTGTCCCCCAGCAGCCTTACACGAATCGTCGGCAGAACCGCAAGTGTGGGGCCTGTGCAGCCTGCCTACGCCGGATGGACTGTGGCCACTGCGACTTCTGCTGTGACAAGCCCAAATTTGGGGGCAGCAACCAGAAGCGTCAGAAGTGTCGTTGGCGCCAATGCCTGCAGTTTGCCATGGTGGGTGGGGCAGGAAGGGTCAGGCAGGTGGGACAAGTTGATCCAGGGCCCCCAGTGCTTGGGAGTGGTGGGTAGGCCTGGTAGGTGGGTAGGCCTGGTAGGTGGGTGGGGCAGGCCAGATGGGTTGTGCATCTTCAGAGGAGTGGGCAGGGCAGTAGGTTCAGCCAAAGATTAGCCAGCATTGTGCTGGGGCAAATGAATCTGGGTGGCACTGGCATTGCTAACAGGAGACCAGCAGGCTCAATGATGAGGGCCTCCGATGTAAGCAGGTTCTGTGCTGGAACTAATGGGAATTAGCAGGTGCATTGATCAGGACAGGGTGGTGGAGTTGGTCACTGCACCAGATGGCCATAATACCCTGTGTTTCTTCAGAAGCGGCTGCTGCCTAGTGTCTGGGCAGGATCTGAGGATGGGGCAGGCCCGCCCCCACCTTATTCTCGTCGAAAGAGACCTGGCTCTACTCGGCGGCCCCGTCTGGGGCAGATACTGAAGACCTCCTTGACCACACCCACAGCCCGATCAGGCCGTGCCCAGACTCCAATGAAACAGGAAACAGGCAGTGGCTTTGTGCTACCCCCACCTGGCACCGACCTTGTGTTCTTACGGGAAGGTGCAAGCAGTCCTGTGCAGGTGCCTGGCCCTGCTTCAGCTTCCACAGAAGCCCTGTTGCAGGTGAGGGTCCCATCTTTTCCTGCCCTTCCCAGCCCTACCCAGCCTTGTGCCAGGAAGCTGGGACCAAGTCTGCCGCAATCCTCCTTCACACAGGAGGCCCAGTGCCCTGGCCTGAGTTGGGTTGTGGCCTTACCCCAGGTGAAGCAAGAGAAGGCGGATGCCCAGGAAGACTGGACACCGGGCACAGCCATCCTGACTTCTCCTGTATTGCTGTCTGGCTGCCCCAGCAAGGTGGGGGTCAGTGATGGGTGGTCTGTGAGCAGAATGATGGTGGTTCTTTGAGCAGAGCAATAGATGTGCTGATTGCAGCCTCACTATAAAATTACCCCACCTGTCTGACACATGCCCCACCTTCCCCAGGCAACTAACTGCCTGCTTTGCTGTCCAGCTAACAGAAAAATGGAATTCTCTGAGGAACGGGAAAGGTTTGTAGGCTGAGAGATGGATTTTCTGGGCTGAAGCGTGATGGAAGTGGGATTTGTCAGCACACTGACAGGTTGGCTGATAAGAGACTCTTTCCTCAGGCCAACCCTGCCCTTCTGACTGCTGCCTGTTTCCCACCTCTCCCAGGCAGTAGACCCAGGCCTGCCACCTGTGAAGCAAGAGCCACTGGACCCTGAGGAGGACAAGGAGGAAGAGAGCAAGGATGACTCCGCCTCCGACTCGGCACCAGAGGAGGAGGCAGGAGGGGCTGGCACACCCGTGGTCAGTGCTGGGGGATGCTTCACCCTGCCCTGAGCCTGCTTTAGCCCTGTTGGCCATGATGACCCATGATGTTAATTCTTCCCTAGATCACCGAGATTTTCAGCCTGGGTGGAACCCGCCTCCGGGACACAGCAGTCTGGTTGCCAAGGTGTGCCCCGCACAGTGAGGGGTGGTATGGGGTTGGTGCTGGTCAGATGTGGGCCCCGAGTTTTACATGTAGAGTCAGCAATTTGGTATGATGCAGTGGGAGGTAAAGGCTCATATCACTGCATTGATCATGATCAGTGAGGGGTTATGTGCAGGACCCTAGAAATTTCTCTTGAGATTCAGGTCAGGATTTTCCTTGGGTGTGTGTGGGGGTGGTGGGTGGAGCGACAGGGGTCAGTGGAGGGTGAGGACTTGATTCCTTGTGATGAGATTTGAAAGAAAATTATAAAAGCCTGGTCCACATCTTCCTAAGAAAATCCAGAAGGGGTCAGGTTTAATATATAAATTCTTATTCAGAGAATCATCATTTGGGGTCTTGAAGGCCCCTGGAGTCTCCAATAGATGACAGGTGGGCTGGACAGTGGTGGGTGGGCAGGAGATCTGGGCCCTGAGATGGCTCTGATCTGGGTCCACGTGCAACTGCGCAGTCTCAGGCTAGTCCTCCACCTCCTAGAACATCCTTTGTGGATGAGGTCAGGCTGTGTTTCTTGAGCCTTTCCTGAGCCTATTGAGGTTATTAACAGTTTTAGCTGCTCCACAGAACTGTCCCTGCAGGCCTGGCAATAGGATGAAGGATAGCTGCCCCTAAGGACAGGGCTGGTGGGAGGAGGACGGGAATGCTACCTCCTGCAGAATGTTCACGGGCTGTGCACACAGCCCCAGACACAGGCAACATAAATTGTTGGCCTAGGCACCTGGATTCCTTTGTTCCCACAAACTAGCGTCTGCAGGCCAGAAACTCCTTCATCTGCCTTGGGCAATTACAGAGGTACTGACTGAGTACCTGCTGGGTACACTGCAGTGTGAGAGATACAGTGGTGAATACAGTGACCCCGGAAGGCTTATCCTTCAGGAGACACGGATTCCTGCCTTCAGGGAACTTATCATCTAAGTGAGGAAACAGTTTTCCTATGTGTGAAATCATTACATGTTAACGGAGAAGGTAATGATGTGTCATCTTGTTTGTAATGGAATATTTTAAAATGAAAAGAGAGATAAGGGATAATTATGGGGAAATGGATGGTGGGCACAGAATACTAGGAAATGGTTTTGTGATGCTCCATTTTGCAAAGAGCGAACTTCATTCAACATACAGACCTGCTCCCTCTTCTCTAGGTCCAAGGACCTTAAAAAACCTGGAGCTAGAAAGCAGTAGACTGGAGGCTTCTGCAGACTGTAGGATTCAAGGTGATATTTAAAGACTGGCTTTATGAGAGAACACTGATCTACTCAGAGGCTGGACCGTAGACCGAGGGGCTTATGTAGGATTCAATAGGAACTGGAAAAAACCTACCACCAAACCAGAGAAGCAGGCCTATTCAGTACTTTGAGCTTATAGCAGAAGTAAGCAGGAAAGGAAGAGAAAGAATAGAAAGTTGTTGCATCTGCTCCAACTGGTGCAAATCCCGGGAGCTTGACTGATAAGAAGTGTGGATATTACAGGTAGGGGATCTGGGGTGGAGAGGAGATGTAAAAGCCACCACAAAACAGCCTATACAAGCCATCTTCATGAATAATCTTTCAGTGGCTTCTGGATGAGACCTGGCGGTGTTTCTGAACATTTCCATTTTCTCAGAGAGACAGCATTGGAAAGTGTAATGTGAATAAACGAGGAAAGGAACTCTATTTGATATAGTTCCTCCTACTGATAAAATTTATTTAGCTCTCCAATCTTTTTAGGAAGACAATAATTTTTGCCCATTTTTGCATTTGGGTAAACAAGACTCAAAGAAATTAAATAACTTGTCCAGTGTCAGACAACTAATACCAGTAAGCCTAGAAAAAAACCCCAGGTTGTAAAAACCTTGTTCTTTAAGCCACCAAACTGTAAGCTGTAATCCTATATCCAATAATGTATAATACTATAGTAACAGAAGTTTCCAGTGACCTTGAAAACAAAGTGGATTACCCTAAAAAGAACAAATCGCTTACACTGCTGCCTCTAGCGTGGTTTAGGGAGTGCCAAGGCTGTGTGGATTTGGTCACCTTGTCACAGCACCCATGCATTCAAGAGACTGGGTTCTTCTGAGGCCTTAGGTGTTGCATAATATTCCTCAAACACTAACGGACGTCCTTCCCCAGGGGTCACTGTCCATTTTGCTTGTTGCCCTCATTCTTCTCAGCCAAAGCAGTCTTCAGAAGTAAAGCTGCCAGCCTGGTTTGCTGACGACTTGCCTCCCTGCCCCTTGATGACTTTTGTGCTTGGTTTCTGCCCTTGGCCCCTCTCTACTAGGGGACCGAATTCCTGCTTCAAGTCCTACATAAGGGCCAGTCTTGACACAGTCCCACCTCACTTCCCAGTTCTTCATAAAGTGCCAAAAAGTTTAGACCTGTGGTTCGTTACATAGCCAGCTTTACAGGGCTGTGACTGAGTGCATGCCTCCTTAAATTCTGTAGCCTTTGTATCTCCCCTGCCTTATTCTAGTCCAGGCCCTTCAGCTTTAGATAATTCAGATGTAGATGAGACATTTCCCTACTGTTAACCCTTTCTGCTACCCTCTCTGCTCCTTCCTTTGCTTTACCTTCTTGAGCCAGAGACAAGACTGGGTAATTTTCTGGTATTGTTTTGTTCTCCCCAGGACCCAGCCACCCAACCCTAGCATTCTGTGATGTCTTACATGAAATTTATTTGATTGGCATTCAGACTCCTAAGAGTCTGGTTACAATGTGTATCCCAGTACAATCAGAAAAGCAGCACCACTAATATAAAGATTTTATATATATATGTATATATATGTGTGTATATATATGTATATGTATATTTTAAGGGACTTAATAGGGATTTGAGCTTATGCAGTAGTGGGAGCTGAGTAAACAGTCTCTGTAAGGCTGTTGTCTTTGCATCTAATGCTGGAGCTTGAAGTCTGCAGGGCAGGCAATCGGGAAGGGAAGATGGATGTAAAGTGTGGGAGACGGAGGACACTTTGGCGCGCACGAGCAAGAGCTGGAACCGGCGAGGATGGCCTAGAACCCATGTCAGTGTCTCAGCACCTCCAACTTCGATGATGTGGGTGTCCTGCAGAAGAAGCTGGTGCCCTTCATCACAGAGTTAAATACTCGTCCTGCCCAGGAATTAGAGAAGCTGAAGGAGGAAGATCCCAGGGAAAGTGGAGCAGCTGCAGGCCTGACTGCAGGCCTGACTGCTGCCCCACACCAACGAGGTGAGCCAGCAGATAAGTGACAACATGTGTGAACTGCAACAGTGCCTGGTGCGCCTGCACCAACCTTCCGAGTGTAAAAACAGTATGCTGCTGCTTCACTTCTGTCCTCCAATTACCATGCAAAATGTCTCTTGTGGCCCATCCTAACCGGAAGCATACGGGGAAGGGAGTTCTGGGAAACGTAGCCTAGTCAAGGTGACACATTACAAAGCCACCCTGCCATGAATCAGCTCCCAAGGGTCTCACTGCTCACCCGAGGATAACTTGATAAAGCTTCGTTGCTGGAAATGCAAAGCTGAAGACCATGGATTTCATGGTGACCCCAGGAAGTACAGAAATACTGTCAAGCCCACCCAGAAAAAAACTGGCTGGTCTCGGCTATTTTTGTGTCATTCATTCAAGTAATGAGAACCTGGCCCATGGTAGGCACTGTACTTGATACTGGGATAAAGGAATGAAAAAGATATAGTCCATGCAATTTTATTAAATACATCAGTTATGTATTACAAATGGTGAATGGATATCCAACTTTATCATGGAATTTAATGGTGAAAATATAGAATTCAGGAAACTGTCGGGAGGACAGCCCTTGCGTGAACCTTGTTGGGGCACAATAGGAATTGGAAATAATATAAATAGTTTCTATCTCTGAGCTGTTCTATTTTAAAATTATTTTAAAATGATTTTTATTGTCCCGTTTACTGTTTCATATATTCAGTGTTTCTTTGGGGAGTGTCTTGATGGTGGTAACAGTGTTGACTCTGAGAAAGTGGGATGGTGGGTGGCAAGATCAGGGTCAGGTTCTGTCCGAGGACCTTGGGCCAATCGCTTCTCCAGGCCTTGGGGCTTGGCTGAAGGCAGAGGCTCACCGTGCGGGGCGCTGGTCCCGGCCCCGCCCCTCCACCCTCCGAATAGGCCCGCTAGGGGGCGCCGGGGCCGCGGTCAGCCCACCGCCGCTCTCGGGAGACGCAGCCCCTCACCCCTGGCCGGGGCGGCTCGGGGGCGTGGCCTCCGCCCGGCTGAGACACCAATCCTTGGCCGGGCTGGGAGGAAAGCCGACTCTTCTTCTTCACGTAGTGGTAAAACAGGCAAAACCGAACTGGAGTTAAGTTACGGGGCACGCCCGGGGTAAGGGTGCAGCACGACGAGCTCTGGACCGACGCTGGGACGTTCGAGGGCAGCAAAGTGTCGCCAAGGGTCGGCTTCCCCCGTCGCCGAACTCATTTCGACGGGGTCCTACGGGCTGTACGACCTCTGGGGTGCCCGACTGGCTCTCCTTATATCTCTGCTGCTTTTCCCAAACCCTGCGCCTGAGGGCCTTTTCATTGCCTCCCTTCTTTCCCAAGGGTGTGGTGTGAGGGGTGGTTCCACACAGACCAACCAGCGGGCCAGTCGCCCGTGGGACTCGAAGATCAAGGAACTGACCCTCAGGACTCTGTCCAGGGAACCGAGACGACCTCTAATTTCTTTCTTTTTTGTTTGTTTCAGGCTACGTAAACTCTTAGCAGTAAATGAAAATGAGTATTTTACCGAACTGCAATTGAAAGAAGAAGCATTATAGGAGAAAAAAGACAAAATGAGAATTATTAAAAGAGATTATTAAAAAGAAAAAAGACATTATTTTGTGGCTGAAAAGCTGAACCAGCAATTCAGGAAATGGAATCCAAACCTAGAAACGTACCGCATACAAAATCCGAAGTGGGTGGATTACAAATAATTAAGGAATGCTAATTTACAGTAAATTGCGGCCTTGCGACGGTATACACAATAGTTGTACTTTGGTTATTGTTAGATGTCAGTGACTGACAAGGTTCTGATTTTTTTCTATGCTCTAGTGTTCTGTGCTCACCCGCACTTTAGAAGGAGAGTACCAAAGCGTCATTCTTAATTGGCTTTTAGTTACTACCACCTTGCTCTTGACTGAAGTACAGCTGTGGGCTCCACCTGTGCCTAGGGCTCTTTCTAGGTTCCCTGAGCTGTCTGTGTTGCCTGTTCGCCTCAGATACGGATTCTCAGGGCCTCATTACCAGCGCTTCCCATCCATGTCCTCACCCTGGTTTACTGTGAACCGTACCTCAGACTCTTGGTCTTTATTTTGCCCAGCCAGGTCATGTCATTGACCTCTTAGGCCATCTGATCTGTCCCCCATCCTAGGGTACCCCGAGTCAGCTGGGGTTTCTGCCCAGTGCAGTAGGAAGATACTAGTAACAGATTTATCATTACTGGTTTGGGTGGGCTGACAGGCTCTCTAGGCCTTGTCTTAGCTGGAAAATGAGGTTAATACCTGCTGTTCCATAAACCCTGTAAGACATTTGTGAGGTCCAAAGGTTTTATGTGTGAAAATACCTTGCAAATTACCGTAAAGAACTACACAAATATAAGGTGGTGGTCATGTGATGATTATTACCATCATCGAGATTCACCTAAAAATGCCCGCAAAATTTAACCTTCCCACAGAGTATCCACTAACTTTTCTCATGCTTTTAAGCTGATTACAGGATATAAATAGCAAAGTCAATGGAATGTAATTAGATCTTCGCCTTCACTTCGGGTTAAGGAGGCTTATTTCTGCTATTCTGATGAACCCTAGAGGAAGGGAGCGCGGTCGCCGGAGGCCTGGCCAAGGGCGGGGTGAGGACCGCGCAGACTCAGCTCCTCGGCTCCGGGAGGAAGTTGCGAGTACCGGCGTCTATGGTCACCATGGTGACGGGACCGACTTCGGCCCCTCCCACCTGCCCCTCACCCTGCAGGGCGCACCATGGCAACCAGACCTCTGCATTGCGGAAGCTGGTCCCGCAGCTCTCCACTGTTGGGAAACCGCGGCGGACGCCGCCCCCATCCCGAGGGACTCGAAAATGTACAGCCAGCGATTTGGCATCGTACAGCGGGAGGTTAAGGGCCCCACTCCCAAAGTGGTGATCGTGGTAAGCACGGGATGTGTGTGCGGGACCCTACTGCTTTCTGCATCTCCCTGCACTCCAGGCCTAGCCGAGCCCAACCTAGCCCCAGCCGCGGCTCTCTCAAGGGGAGCAGGTGCCTTGTGCAGTGGGTTGAATTTTGAAAGAAGGAAAGATAAGGCCATTCACCTAGTTCCTGTACTCTGTTCCTCAACCCCCCATCCTTCACCCCCACCCCCACCTCACACCAGTTATATTTAGATTCTGTATTTGTAGAATCACCGCTTGGGATACTGAGAGTTTTCAGTCTCCAAGACACCCAAAGGAGGTCTGTCCCCTTGTGATGTGGCATGCCTGTCACACAAAGCATGCTGGGCTGGGGCAGGGCAGGCAATGGGGGTCTCGGCTGGTGGTGATTCAGCTGTGTCTGAATCTTGGGCTGGTCCTGCATTCCCAGGGAAATCGTATATGGAAGGGGGATTGGGCTGTGAGGGGTTGTGAGGAGTTATAGTGACCTTCCTGTGCCAACTCAACTGTAACAGAAGTGTCCCTGCAGGCCTGGTAATAGGACAGTTGGTTGCCTCTAAGGCTGGGGTGGTGGTAGGCCAGGAGAATGCCGTGTGCTGCAGAATTTGATGGGTTTTGCTTAGAACCCCAGACACTTGGTCTATGCACCTAGATTCCTTTGTTCCTACAAGTTTTTACAGGCTAGAAAACCTTCATGTGTAATTAGGCAATTATAGAGGTATTACTTGAGCCCCTGCTGTGTCCACAGCACTGTGGGAGATACAGTGGTAAATACAATGACCCTGGGAGGTTTATTCTTCATTAAAAGTCTGATCCCTGCCTTCCTGTTGCTTATTATCTAATTGCAGAAACAATTTGTTCATGCGTAAACCATTAAAGGCTAACACGGTAGATAATCATGTGCTATATGTCTGTGATGGTACTTTGTGGAAGAAATATCAGGAATAATGAAGGAGGCAGTTTTATTATGCACCACAGTGCACATAGCAATTCTCAGTCCACTTACAGACCTGCTCCCTCTTCTCCGGGTCCAAGGACTGTAGGTTCCGGGTCTGGAAATCAGTAGATTGGAGGATTCTACAGATTGTAGGATTCAAGGTGGTAATTATAGACAGATTTCATAAGGGACAGAAACTGATCTACTTTGGGTTCTGTATCCCAACACAGAGCTCAGGGACTGGGCTATTGTTTGAGTGCCATTACTTGTGTTGGGAACAAATAAGGAACATGAAAAAAAGAATTACCACCAAACCAGAGAAGCAGGCCAAATGAATACTTTGAGCTTATAGAAGAATAAAGAGGAAAAGGGAAAAGTCAGCATTGTGCATCTCAGATGGCAGAGTGTGATAAGAAGTATGGATGTTAGAGATTGCAGCGTTGCGGTGGGGGAAGAATTAAAGCCACCAGAGATGAGACTTGATGCTAAACAATTCCTCCAGGAGAAAGCAATAAATGATGTAACGTCTGAAGTAATGGAGAACTAAAGGAGCAGTTATGTGGTGAGTGCTGCTTAGGGACCCAGTTATTTAATTCTCAAAATGGTTTTTTAGGACCACATTTATTTTGCTCATTTTGACAGGTGAGAAAACTGAGATTCAAAGAGATTACGTACCTTGTTTAAAATCACACAGTTGTTATGGGTAGAGGCCAGAATCAAACCTAGACTGTAAAATACTGTTCTTTAAGACATATAAACTGTAAACTCTCTCATTAGAAACTGTAATTTAACATGTTACAGTGACAGAGGCTTCAGTGACCTTGGAAACACAAGGTAGTGATTAAATCCTATGTTCTCCTGCCTTTAGCATGGTTTAGAGTTGCAGTGTCCAATATGGTAGCCACTAGCCATACATGGCTTTTGAGCACTTGAAATGTGCCTAGAGTCACATGTTGAAATGACAGTATTTTGAATATATTGGTTAAATAAAACATATTATTAAAATTAACTTCCTGTTTCTTTTTACTTTCTAAAATGCAGCTACTAGAAAATGTTAAACTATGGATCTGTTTTACATTATATTTCTGTTAAACAGTGTGGATTTTGAGTAATACTGAGACTGTGCATGGATTGGTATCACCTTGTTGTTAGAGAACTCCAGTTCATATCTTACTCCTCCAGACACTGGGCCCTTCCTGACCACACAGTCCTATACAGGATACCCCAAGCTTTGAAGGGGTTCCTGACACCTGGCTACTACTCAGGATGTTTCTTACCACCCTTCACCCTCATTCACCTTTTCAGTCAAAATGTACCTCAGAACCAGGTTCCTGCTCTGACAACTCAAGACAGTTGATTCTTGATGACCTTGGTGCTTGGTTCTCAGCCCATATGTCTACTGGGAGCCTGAATTCCTGTGTGTATCCTGAACAAGGTGTAGTCTTGACTCTTTTCCACTTCATTATCACTGAATCTTCATTCATACAATGCTATACATATTAGAGAACAGTAGTTTGTTAATTAAGTGGCTCTAGGCTCTAAATAATTCTGATATGGATTAGCCACCTACCATGATATAACCCCCAACATCATCTGTCTCCAATCCACCTCAGCCCTGTCTTACCTTGTTCAGCTAAATCTAGGTAACTGTATGTGTACCTTGAATCTTTTCATCAGGCTATCTGCAAATGTTGATTTTCTTTTTTTTCTAGGAGACTCCTTTACCAAGACTTAACACTAGTATTGTGGTAATCCTGACAGTGATGTTAGTGTAATGTTAGAAGTGTAAATTAGATTGACTTTCTGCCATATGAGTTAAGAATTTTGTTACTTGTAAATCAGCATCCTGCAGTCTCACTATTCACCTAAGTTTGACTTGATAAAACTGGCTTGAAAATACAAAGCTCAAGACAGTGGATTTCATGATGGCTTCAGGAGGAGCAGAAATTGCATCAAGCCTACCCAGAGATGTGTCCTTCCTCCCTCCTTTTCTCCCTACTTTTTTCCTTCCTTCACATTGAGAACCAACAGTGGTAAGGCATTATACTTCAACGCTAGGAATACAGAAATGAGAAAGATTGTCCATGTGATTTTATTAAATAAATCAATACTCAAAGTAGTGTGTTTCCAACTTTTTAGTGGAAGTTTGTATTAAAAAAAAATGTAGAAATTCAAATTACCCCAAAATATCAGGAGTACTGCCCTTGCATTAAACTGGGCACAAGAGAAATAAGAAAGCATTACTATCAGTTTTTTCCCCTTTTCTCTTTTCCTATTTTCCCTTCCCTCCCTCCTTCCCTTCCCTCCCTCCTTCCCTTCCTTCTCAGTAGAGGGTTTTTTTATTGTCACAACTCATTATATATATCCTATATACTTAGAGATAGTAGCCTCTTCTAGTTGAAATTATTTTGAGGGTAACTATGTTGTCTACCCCTGAGAAACAATGTGGGATAGTGGGGGGCAAGATGAAGGTCAGGAATTAGAAGACCTCTAATTCTTGTTCTATACAGGTCCACCCTGACTATTGGAAGCACTTTGACAAATCACTTAATGTTTCTGAGTTTGACTAAATAATCTCTAGAGTCCTGCTCAAATTTTTAAGTTTATAATTCCATGAACTTTTACTCAAGCGGCACTTAGGAAATATTTGAGGCTGATTTGATGACATCTTAAGTATAGGCTCAAAGAATCAAACATGTTAAACCTTAGGCACTTAAGCTCTTTGCAGTTGTAGCAGGATTACTTTGATACATCCAATTTTATTTAGTATTGGTGGAGGTCATGATTAGTTAAAAATATGCAATCGATTTTGGATCGGTTGTAAGTGATAATTATTTGTTTTCAGAGAGCCAAGCCTCCCCAAGTTCATGGGGCTGAGCAACATCTGGAAAGAATCCAACGCTGCCATCAGAAACATCATGCTATTTTGGCTTCTATTAAGTCAAAGGAGAGAGATCGCTTGAAAGTTGAGTGGGACCAGCACAATGATCGCAAGTTTGTGGACAGTCTTGTGAAAGCAAGAATCAAGGATGCCATGCAAGGTTTTATGATCAACACTGAAGAAAGACGAAATAAGTAAGATTCACAAACTGGTGCTTCAGACTATAAAACATTCCCAAAACCCTAATGTGAGATCGACCAAAAATCAAGTAAATTTTTATAGTAAGGATCATAGCTGAGATAGTCATATCCTTACCCAATCAATAGCTCCTTCTTGTTTGTATTTTCACTTGTGATAACCCACATTTGATAGGAAGCAAAAGAATATATTGTTTAATATTTTGTTACTTTAGTTAAAATCTGTTCATACTCTTGTTGAAGAGTTACATTAGCTAATTTGTATGAGATCAAATAAAATATGGCACGTCAGTTTCTGTTGCTTTAAATGAGGACTAGTCTTATTTTATAGAAGACTGCAATGATATTTTTCCTTTGCAAAATTTATGATTAAACCTGTGCTTTGGGGGCACTTGGGTGGCTCAGTCAGTTAAGTGTCTGCCTTTGGCTCAGGTCATGATCTAAGGGTCCTGGGATTGAGCCCCCCTGTCTGGCGCCCTGCTCAGCAGAAAGTCTGCTTCTCCTGCGCTCATGCACATGCTCTCTCTCTCAAATAAATAAAATCTTTTTTAAAAATAAAAATAAACGTGCTAATTAAATAAATAAAAGTAAATAAAAACCAATTAGTAAAACGGCCCATGTGGCATGACAGTTTTACTTTTTTTGTAATTTTTTTTTAGGCTACGTGAACTTTTAGCATCAGAAGAAAGTGGGTATTTTACTGAAATGCAGTTGAAAGAAGGAACAATTGAGGAGAAAAAAGATAGAATGAGAGATAAAACCAGATTATTGAAAGAGAAGAAAGAAAAAGAGAGACAAGATCTCGTGGCTGAAAAACTAGACCAGCAATTCAGGTAATGATATCAGAAAAACACAGAATCTGAAGTTGGTGTATGAAAAAATGATTTAGGCATACTAACTTATAGTAAAGTATGGCCTTAAGATGGTATACACGGTAGTTGTGCCTCTAAGTCTTGGTAATTATACACATCATTGGATAATGCAGGCACTGAGGTTCTGCTGTTGTTTTGTAGTGAGAAAGCTTTGGACCTACTGTGTTAGCAAATTTTAAATATGCAATATAGTGTTATTGTCTATAGTTACCATACTCTATATTAGATCCCCAGAACTTATTCATCTTGTAACTGAAAGTTTGTGTCCTTTGACCAACATCTCATTTTTCCCACCTCAGTCCCTGGAAACCATACCATTCTACTCTCCATACATTCAACTTTTTTTTTTTAAAGTGAGAATACAGTATTTGTCTTTGCCTGTCTGTCTTAACCCACTTAGTATAGTGTCCTCCAGGTTCATCCATGTTGTCTCAAGTGGCAGGATTTCCTTCTTTTTTATATTGACTACTATTCCATTTCACACACATACATATAGATACATAGATGTGTATGTATGTGGTATATATATCACACATTTTCTTTATCCATTCACATAATGTTGTTAGAATGTTTCCATATCTTGACTATTGTGAATAATGCTGCAGTGAACATGAGATTGCAGATATCAAGGTACGGGAATCTTCCCTAATTCCATTTCCTTTGGATATATGCCCAGAAGTGGGATTGCAGGATCATATGGTAGTTCTATTTTTAGTTTTTTAGGAATCTCCATACTGTTTTTCATAATAGCTGTACCAACTTATATTCCCACCAACAGCATACAAAGGTTTCCTTTTCTCTACATCCTTGCCAACAATTGTCATCTCTTGTCTTTTTGATAATAGCCATCCTAGCAGGTGTGAGGTAACATCTCACTCTGGTGTTGATTGGCATTTCCCTGGTGATTAGTGATGTTGAGTACTTTTTCATGTACTTTTCGGCCATTTGTATGTCTTCCCTGGAAAAATGTCTATTCAGGTCCTTTGTTCATTTTTTAATCAGATTTTTTGGGGCTACTGAGTTGTATGAGTTCCTTATATATTTTAGATATTAACCCCTTAACAGATAACATAGTTTGAAAATATCCCATTATTGCCTTGTCCATGTTGTTGATTGATTCCTTTGCTGTGCAGAACTTTTTAATTTTATGTGGTCCTACTTGTTTATTCTTGCTTTTATTGCCTTTACTTTCGGGTGTCATATCCAAAAAATAATGCCAAGACCAATGTCAAAGAGATTTTTCCCTATGTTTTTGCCTATATGTTTTACAGTTTCTGATTTTATGTTTAAGTCTTTAATCCATTTTGACTAAACTTTTATGAATGGTTTATATAGTAGTCCAGTTTCATTCTTTTTCATGTGGATATCCAGTTTTCCCAATACTGCTTATTGAAGAGACTATTCTTCCCCATTATGTGTTCTTTGCCTCCTTGTAAAAGATTAGTTGACTACATATTTTCGGATTTATTTCTGGGCCCTCTATTCAGTTTCATTGATCTATATATCTATTTTTACGCCAGTACTATACTGTTTTAATTACTATAACTTTGTAATATAGTTTGAAATCAAGTATGTAATGCTTTGAGCTTTGTCCTTTTTTAAATCAAGATTGCTTTGGCTCTTTTGTGGTTCCATCTGAATTTTAAGATTTTTTTTTCTATTTCTGTGAAAAATTCCATTGGAATTTTGGTGGGGGTTTCACTGACTGTGTAGATCACTGTGTAGTATGGACATTTGAACAATATTGATTCTTCCAATCCAAGGACAAATGGTTCCTTCCCATTTATTTGTGTCTTCAGTTTCTTTCATCGGTGCCTTATAGTTTTCAGTTAACTCCAGTTAACTTCAGGTAACCTCCTTGGTTAAATATTTCCTTAAATATATTATTGTTTCTGATGCTCTTCCAAATGGATTGTTTTCTTAATTTCTCTTTCAGATAGTTCATTTCTCGTGTATAGAAATTCAACTGATTTCTGTATGTTGTTTTCATATCCTGCAACTTTACTGAATTTACTGATTAGTTCTAACAGTTTTTTTGGTGGAGTTTTTAGGGTTTTCTATATATAAGATCATGTCTTGGGCAGACAGTTTTGCTTCTTTTCCATTTTGGATGCTTTCTATTTCTTTTTCTTGCCTAATTGCTCTAGCTAGGACCTCCAGTACTATACTGAATAAAAGTGGCAAGAATGGGCACTTTTTCAGAGGAACAGCCTTCACCTTTCTACCTCTGAACATGATGTGAGCTGGGAGCTTCTCATATATGGCCTTTATTGTGTCGAGCTACATTACTTCTGTACCTAGTATGTTGAGAGTTTTTATCATGAAAGTATGTTAATTTTGTCAGATGTTTTTTCTGCATCTATAGCCATGATCTTATAAATTTTATCCTTCATTTTGTTAATGTGGTGCATCACGTTTATTGATTTGTGTATATTGAACCATCCTTGCATCCCAGGGATAAATTCCATTTGATCATGGTGTATGATCCTTTTAAAATGCTGTTAACTTTGGTTTGCTAGTATTTTGTTGAGAATTTTTGCATCTATGTTCATCAGGGATATTGGCCTGTAATTTCCTTTTCTTGTAGTGTCCATGTCTGGCTTTAGTAGCAGGATAATGCTGGCCTCATAAACTGCGTTTGGAAGTGTTTTCTTCAATATTTTGGAAGCTTATGAGAGGGATTGGTATTAATTCTTCTTTAAATGTTTGATAGAATTCACCAATGAAGCCACCTAGTCCTGGGATTTTCTTTATTTGGAGATTTTTTTGATTAGTGATTCGATCTCAACTTATTATTGGTCTTTTCAGATTTTATATTTCTTCATGATTCAGTCTTGATAGGTTATGTGTGTCTAGGACTGTATCCATTTCTCTCAGGCTATCTAATGTGTTGGCTTATAATTATTCATAGTAGTCTTCTATGATCCTTTGTGTTTTTGAAATATCAGTTGTAATGTCTCCTCTTTCATTTCTGATTTTATTTATTTGAGTCTTCTCCATTTTTTCTTAGTCCAGATAAAGGTTTGTCAATTTTGTTAAATTTTTTCAGGAAACCAGTTCTTAGTTTCATTGGTCTTTTCTATCATTTTACTAGTCTCTGTTTTATTTATTTATTTTCTTTTCTCTGCTAACTTTGGGCAGTTTGTTCTTTTTCTAGTTCCTTGAAAGTAAAGTTAGGTTGTTTACGTGATGTTTTTCTTTTTTCTTAATATAGGTGTTTATTGCTATAAAATTCCCTATTAAAACTGCTTTTGCTGCATTCCATAAATCTGGTATGTCGTGTTTCCATTTTCATTTGTTCCAAGGAATTTTCCAATTTCCTTTTTGATTTCTTCTTTGACCCACTGGTTGTTCAGAAGTGTGTTTTTTAGTTTCCACATTATTTGTTAGTGTTCCAGTTTTCTTTCTGTTATTAATTTCTAGTTCTATACCATTGTGGTCAAAAAAGATACTTGACAAGATTTCGATCTTCTTAAATTTGTTAAGACTTTTTTTGGTGACCTAGCATATGATATATCCTCAAGAGTGCTCGGTGGGTGCTTGAGAAGAATGTGTACTCTGTTGCTGTTGGATAGAATGTTCTGTGTATGTCTGTGAGTTCCACTTGATCTAAAGTGTACTTCAAGTCCTGTGTTTCCTTACTGATTTTCTGTCTGGATGATCTATTTCCTGTTGAAAGTGGAGTATTGAAATCCCCTACTATTGCTGGATTGCTGCAATTTCTCCCTTCAAATCTGTTAATATTTGTTTAATATGTTTACGTGTTAGGTGTATATATATTTATAATTGTTATATTCTTTTGATGAATTGACCCCTTTATAATTATATGAGGACCTTCTTTGTCTTTTTTTTTTTCCAGCTTTTGAGTTAAAATCTATTTTGTCTGATTGAAGTTTAGCCACCCCTTTTCTTTTTGTTTCTACTTCCATGGACTATCTTTTTCCATTCCTTCACTTTCAGCCTTTATATGTCCTTAAAGCTGAAGTGAATGTCTTAAGAGTAGCATATAGTTGGGTCTTGTTTTTTTTCTGTTCAGCCACCCTGGATACTTTCAAATTTCCTATCTTTGAGTTCTTAGACTTTTTTATTCTATTTGATCAAATCTGGTGGTGATGACCTCTCTTGCATTTTTCATTTCACCCATTGTATTCTTTAGCTCCAGAATTTCTGTTTGGTTCTTTTTTATGATTTCTCTCTCTGTGTTGAAACTCTCATTTTGTTCATGTATTGTTTTCCTGATTTTGTCTGTCTATGTGCTCTTGTAGCTCACTGAGCTTCTTTTTTTTTATTTTTTAAAGATTTTTATTTATTTATTTGACAGAGAGAAAGAGAGCACAAGCAGGGAGAGGGAGAAGCTGGCTCCCTGCTGAACAGGGAGCCCAACGTGGGGCTCGATCCCAGGACCCTGGGATCATGACCTGAGCCAAAGGCAGACGCTTAACCAACTGAGCAACCTGGGCACCCCTCACTGAACTTCTTTAGAACAATTATTTTGAATTCTTTGTCTTTAGGATTGGTTACTGGAAACTTACTCTGTTCCTTTGGTGGCATCATGTTTTCTTGATTCTTTGTGTTCCTTGAAGTCTTGTGTTGCTCTTTTCACATTTGAAGAAACAGTTACCTCCTCCAGTCTTTATTGGATTGCTTCAGGAGAGAAATACCTTCATCAGTCAGCCCAGCTAGGGATTCTGAGGCTTTCTCAGACCTTTTTACAGATGTGCCTGCCCCTCACTTTTTGTTCTTTATTTTCAGGGAGAGGATTTTTAAGATTATATGTCTTCTCTCAGTTCTGAAAAGCCAGACCAGATGCTGAGAGCCTTCCATTTGTTTTCCCTAGTATGGTACCCTGAAATCCTCAAATTTGTATACCTTCTCCCAGTCTCACAGAGTTGCGCTGGCTTTCTGTTTATGCTGGCTAGCCATCTGCAAAGGCTCACACTCACTGTCTAGTGGAGCACATG